GTTGCAATATGCCAGAGTTAATTCGTCTCCTAATTATTTTATTTCTTATAATTTCTCCCATACTCTTTTTCTTTTTTTTTTTTACTGCACACAGCTGCCAGATTTTTGTCTGTTTGTTTGTTTGTTTGTTTTACACTCCCTTGGTCATGTCACCTGCCTGCGTACAAAGCCTCAAAAACTCTCTAGTGGACAAAGTGCAAACTCTTTGTGATTCGTTTAAGTCCCTGTACTTTCTGTCCCTAACCAGCAGCACATCATTCTTAAATCTATTAAAGCCCCAATTATTCATTAATAAAACTGTCACCTATGTTGAACTATGAGTTCCTACAGGTCCAGAAGCGTGTTGCATTCATCTTTGTAGCTCTAGGCATAGTTGGCCTTAGATGTTTAATAAACAGATATTAACTTCAATAAAATTGTTATGATTTTGGATCACAGAAGTCACATGGAGAGTCGGATGTGGGATATACTTACCCATTTACCTTGGGTACTTGTCCTTTGTGTAAAGGAGCTCTTCTTTCTTACTTTTCTACTTCTTTTCTCAATTGGAAATGAAACTTTCAGATTTCAGGATTCAGGTTGGCTGTTGTACATTTTATTACCTTACCTTGCTCTGGCATATCCAATTGCTCTCCACATATCACTCCCATAAATACTCTCTTAACAAATAAGACTGACAGAGAATTGTCAGGGTATCCTGGCCAGTGCAGGCACACTCTGCCCACATCCATGAAGATCTTTCAGGAAGCCACGTTCATGTTTGACCTTTCACCAAACATTAGCAGTGTGACATCTTCAAGTCTGAAAATACTGATGACATTGCAACCTAGATGTTGCTATAGATGTTGGGAATTGTAGATAATTTTTAAGGGTTGAGACATGATGAGATAACTTTGTATGTTAGTAGAAGAGTTAAAGAGGAAGGTTCTATGAAAGAAATAAATCTAGTATTGTGAATATTCAACTATTTTGAAACTAACAGATACTATTTATAGTATTTAATGTAATTCTTCATTTACCCACAACACAATCCAAAAACCATGATGAAAAGATGGCAATAATAATACTTTCTTTCATGTATGTTGACAAGAGCTACCGCAAATATTACTAAAATTTGGCTATGATTTTAAGAACATCTCATGTAATAAAATTGAAATTTATGAACTTGACATATCAGAGTGAGCAATTATCTATATTAAAGAGGTATTATGCACAGTAGAGGGTTGCTGATCTTACGCATTTCTACGCTTTGGTGGTATCTTTACATCTACCCTTTAAATAATTTGTATTATGATTTTTTAATTTCAGATTGTATTCTGATTTTTGATAAGGATGTAAAGAACAAAAAAAAAAAAGAAAGAAAGAAGAGCCTCTCCAATAAATGATGCTGAGAAAACTGGATATCTACATGTAGAAGTGTGAAATTAGACCCTTATGTCACACCATACACAAAAATCAAGATCAAAGACTTAAATATAAGAAAGATCTAAAAGTGGAAAACTACTAGAAGAAAACATAGCATATAAGCTCCATGACATTTGTCTTGGCAATGATTTTTTTTTAGAATATGACCCCAAAGGTATAAGCAACAAAAGAAAAATAGACAAATGGGATTATACCAAACTTAAAAGCTTATGCACAGCAACGGAAGCAAATAACAGAATAAAAAGACAACCTGCAAAATGGGAGAATACATTTGCAAACCATATATCTGATAAAAGATTAATTCCCAAAATATATAAGGCATTCAAACAACTCAATAATAAGAAAACATAAGTTGATTGAAAAATGGGCAATGGACTTGAATAGACATTTCTCAAAAAAGACATACATATGGACAATAGGTCTATGAAAAAATGCTCAACATCACTAATCATAAGAGAAATGCAAATTAAAACCATAATGTAATGTCACTTTGCACCTGTTAGAATGACAATTATCAAAATGACAAAGGATACCAAGTGTTGGCAAGGATGTGGACAAAAGGAAACCCTTTATACTGTTGATGGGAATGTAAACTAGTACAACCATTTTGAAAAACATTATAGAGGTTCCTCAAAAAGTAAAAATAGAACTAGCATATAATCCAGCAATCCTACCATTCTTTGGGTATATATCCAAAGAATACAAAATCAATGCTTTGAAGATATCTACACACTTATGTTCATTGCAGTGTTAGTTACAATAGCCAAGGTATGTAATCAACCTAAGTGCCTATCAGTGGGTGAACAGATGAATAAAATGTGGTATAAATACAATGGAATACTATTCAGCCTTTAGGAGGAAGGAAATTACGTCATTGACAACAATATGGACAAACCAGGAGGACACTATGCTAAGTGAAATAAGACAGGCACAGAAAGGCAAATATTGCATGATCTCACTTACATGTGGAGTGTCAAAATGTTGAACTCATAGAAACAGAGTAAAATGGTGGTTATCAGAGACTGAGGGACAGGAGAATTGGAGAAATTTTTGTCAAAAGTCACAAAATTTCAGTTGAATAGAAGGAATAGGTTTAAGAGATCTATTGTATATCATGGTGACTATAGTTAATAACAATTTATTGTTTTCACTTGAAAATTTCTAAGAGAGTCAATTTTAAGTTTCTTTTTATCACAGTATGTATGTGAGGTAATACATGTGTTAAATAGCTTCATTTAATGATTCTACAATATATGTATCTACCAAAACATGATGTTATTTATATACCATAAATATATGTAATTTCTACTTGCCAATTTAAAAAATCCTGTACCCTTTATAGTGTAAGTTAAATTTGATACAGGTTAAAAGTCTCTGATTCTTATTAATAATAATCAACATCCAACACTTTGTGTTAGCTCAAGATCATAATAAAAGCTTTGCTGTTAATAAATAATATTTCAGCAGTGGCGCCTATGGCTCAAAGGAGTAGGGCACCAGCCCCATATGCTGGAGGTGGTGGGTTCAAACCCAGCTCCGGCCAAAAACTGCAAAAAAAAAAAAGTAATATTTCATTCAGCAATTTTAAAAAATAAACAAAAATCTACATTTGTTTCTATTTCTCCTAGAGCAAATCTACAGGTAAAATGAGATTGTCCTTTATTGGTTGACATTGTGTTCTGTTATATCATAAGCTTTTTAAAAAATTTATTTTAGTCCTAACAGCAATATGGATGTGGCTGTTACTATTTTAATTTAATAAAGATAAAGAAAATGAGGATAGAGAAGTAATTTACATAAGAACATAGCTAGTTGCTGACTGGGCAGAAGAGCAAACCTAGCCTCTGTCTCCAACATCCAGTTTTATTCTCTCAAATCCCTAGTTACACTGGACTTATTGTGGACTCCTCTCCTCTATCCATGGGGCATGGTAGTCTTTCCCATGGCTTTCCTTATCAGCTATATACTAAGGACTCCCATCTCAATGCCTCCAGCTCAGAGCTCCCACCTGAGTCTAAACCCCATATAGACAACCGTCTACTGCCCACTGGATCTCCACTTGCATGTCCTGTGGGCATCTCACTTCATACTCTACTCATCCCCTTTCCCCTACATCAAATCTGCTCCTCCTCATGTATTTCTCAGTTCAGTGAATGGTAACACTATCCATCCAGTCAGCCCAGCCAGAAGCCTAGGAACCTTATTGATCACCTTCTTCTCCTCCTTTACCCCGTCCTCCACCCATATCCAGTTGATCACCAAATCCTGTCCATTCTTTTTCCAATATCAGTATTAACTCTTCACTTACCTCCATTTTCCACTACACCCTTTTTTACCTGGACCACTACAACACCTGGTAATTTGTCCTCCTGCTTCTGCTCTTACCAGCCTTCTCTCTCCTCACCAATTTCTTCAATACACAGCAGAGTAATCTCATACTTTCATATCCCTGCTTATAAACCTGGAATGGTATCCTATAGCCTGACATGCCTTCCTTGGCCCCCAGGGTAAGCCTGGATCAGGAGCACCTGCTGTGCTCTCTCAGCACCCTGTGATCAGTTTCCCCCTAGGAAAACTCTCAGCCTAGATGAAAATGCACCAGTTTACTTTCTTGTCTCCTCAACTAGGCTGAAGACTTTCTGACTCTCCGGGGTTCAGCTCAGTCCTACTAAATGTTTTTTTTTTTTTTTTCTTAAAAAAGGTAGAAGTGGATTTCTTTTTTTTTAATAAGTCACTTGTACATAGATCATGAATACATTTGTGCCATTATGGGATTCCATGTGTTGATTATTTGTACAAATTGGAGCGCTTACATCCTACTAATTAACATAGCTTCACCTCATTTACCCAATTACAGTGTTAAGACATTTGTGTTCTACACCTGATAGATCCAACTTGTACTTGCAATATGCTCCAAAGGTGTGGTCCCCCACCTACTTAATGTTTCTGAACGAATTAATTCTTGCAGTTGCCTGTGCTTATGTCTTTCTGGTTTTGATACAGGTTTGGATGGAATATTCTTTAGGTGTCACCTGCTAGTAGCAAAGTCTGAAGAGGCAAACGGTTGATGTTCCTGAACTTCATTTTTTATTATTGTTTCAGGTTAATTGAAGGTACAAATAGTTAGGTTACAATGTTCGCATTTGTTAGGTAAAGTCCCTCTTATAATTGTGTCCTGCCCCCCAAGAAGTGTGCCATACACACTAACATTGTGCCCATTAATTGGGAGCACACCCATCCCCTTCACTCCTCCCCTTTCCCCCCTCCCTTATTCCCTTTCCCCCACCTCAAATTGAATTGAGTGTTTCTCTTATGTGGGTATGTATTAGATTGTCTACTGGCTTCATATTAGAATTGAGTACATTGTATTCTTGCTTCTCCATTCCTGTGACATTTTACTAAGAAGAATGTGTTCCAACTCCATCCAGGTTAATGCAAAAGATGTAAGGTCTCCATCTATTTTAATGGCTGGATAGTATTCCATGGTACACATATACCACAGCTTGTTAATCTATTCCTGGGTTGGTGGGCATTTAGATTGTTTCCACATTTTGGTGATTGTAAATTAAGCTATGATAGATGGTCTACTGCAAATGTCCTTATGATAAAATGATTTTTTTTTAGGGGCCATGCTAATCTTCTCTGTATTGTTCCAATTTTAGTATATGTGCTGCCAAAGAGCGCTAAAACAATTTTTTTTTCTTCTGGGTAGATGCCTAGTAATGGGATTGCAGGGTCAAATGAGAGGTCTAATTTGAGTTTGATGATTCGGAACTTCTTAAAGTTATTAGAGATTAGTCAAGGAGACAGAAAGAAGGTGATTTGCTTTTAAGAGTTGAGGGACTGAACTAGTGGGCTTTTACTCCTGGTTCTGAGGGGTTAGTTAATGTTGAGAGTTGTATATTCAGTACTATGCTATATGGAATCTTTTGGGCTCTGTATGAACACAGTATACTGATACTTTCTTGTGGATTTAGCATAACTGATTAGTGAAAATCTCCCATGGTTCTCTTCTCTCTCCAACTATATATTTTTTTCTTCTCCTGCAAAATGTCAGATATACCAGAAAAGTAAGAAATCATTTTTTTAAAAAAAGAAAAGTTTTCCCCCCATTTGGGTAAATACACTAGTAGTGGATTACAGGAGCAAATGGTAGGTCTACTTTAAGTTCCTTGAGGAATCGCCATACTACATCCCATAGAAGTACCATTTGCAGTCACACCAACAATTTATGAGTGTTCTTTTTTTCTCTGCATCCATGCCAGCATCTGTTGATTTGGGACTTGACATAACCTATTCTTTTTTTTTTTTCTTTTTGACAGAGTCTCACTCATTCACCCTGGGTAGAGCGCTATGGCATCATAGCTCACTCTTGTGTCAGAAATATTTTGTAATTTCAACAACAATTTTTTTCCCAATCTCCCTCTCTCATGTTGAGTTAAGCAATAGTACAAAAGTATAAAAGGTTGTGCTTTTTAATTAAATCAATAAATTTTTTCTTTCTAAAAAAAAGAAAAAATTAATGAACAATTCTACATCCGTGTTTATAAATTTTTCATTCTTCACCTTCAAAAAACAACTAATATCCAGTTTCATAATTCAAATTGTAGAAAACTGAAATTTTCTTCCCAAAGATGTACTATAATCATCCCAATGAAATCTCATGGTAGGATATACCAATGTGAAGAAATCACAAGTGACAAATTATGTCAGTTCCAGTGACGGAAACTGCATTAGTTCGTCACTAAAGAGAACGCTTCAAGGTAGAGTGTGTGGGGATGTATTTTTATATACAAACTAAATGAAAATTAAATCAATTATCACAATAATTCAAGCCCCAATTCCCCAAGGTTTGCTTCAATTAGATAATTGATGCAATTAGGTGAAAGGTTTTGAGGTAGATTTTTCTGGTCTGAATTATCTCAAATTACTTTAATTCTCCACTTCACTTTGATTATGTAGACCTAGTTCATGCTTGAGTGTGAGTGAATTTAAGTGATTGTTATTCTGCTAGCTCCGATAATCCCTTGCTACATGGCCATGGCCATCTTTTTTCTCCCATAAAATGTGATCTGCAAACAATGTTTATAAGCCAATTTCAAGGACAAAACCACCGCTTTACAGAATAAGTGTGTAGAATTTGATATTTAATACTTAATGGGAAACAATTACTGGAAAGGAATAGTTAAATGAAACTGTTCAGGAGTGAGCTTTGCGGCCTCCAGTATTTCCCTCTTTGTGTTGCAAAGGCTAGGCTTAGAGAAAAAGTTGACTCAAGACAAGTAATACAAACTTTATGTAAACTTGGTCTTAACTGAAATAATTTTACACAAATAGAATGTATTGTGGCAAAAATGCCTGATTATCTTTAGGTCAGATTCTTAGCAGTATCTACCAGGTGTCAGGCAGAAAGTCAATAAGTGATGTACAACCCTGGAGTGAATGCGGCCTCCGGTCACATTCTATTGACTTAGAATTGTATATAAATCACGGCTTAGTAAGTTTGATTATCTTGTTTTTTCCTTTTTCTCTAGCAAAGCAATATTAGATTATTGAGGTGGGGCAGGAGGAAAAGAAAAGAGGGGGGTTTTATTCTACACACTAGGAAATGTCAGTGTAAGGAAGACAGGAGAATCTGGGGACATGAAGGGTGGGAGTAAACAGCCTAGAAAAATTCACCAAGACTTGAATTTTCATCCAAACAGAGTAATAATGATTAAACGATTAAGTATTATCTTTTAAAGAAGTCAGTCAGGGGAGTATGTGGTACATTTTGCAGATTTGTTTTAGCTCAAGTGACTGAAAAACATTTGGTATCAAAACAGATATGCTTCAGGTATCTGGAAATTTTATTTACAAGGAACTCTTAATTCCCTGATGGCCTCAATTCTCAAAAGTAGACTTGTAGAGCTGCCTGCCATTAATCTTATCTTAAAAGTTGACTAAGTCAAATGTAAAATGCGTGTCTCCTTTGAGTTTTTAATCCCTAGTCTAGGAATGTACCCCAGGATATTATCACTCAAAGGCAAAACAGATGCATGAATGTTCATTAATCTTGTTTTTTTCTGTCATAATGAAAAACTGGAATCACTGCCAATGTCCAACTGTGGAAGGCTGGTTATGAAAATACTAACAGGCTATTAAGCAAGATATTGTGGAAGGATATTTAGTGATATTTGGGAAGATATTTATAATATATTTTAAGTGAAAATTTAAAATACACATTGCAAAAGAACATGTAAGTGCAATCTCATTCCTTCTTTATTGTACATATTTAAGATGTAGAACTTGATGTTTTAGTATATATACATTATAAATAATAAAATAATCACTACAATCAAGCTGACATATCCATTACCTCACATAGTTACTTTAAAAAACTTCTTGTGGTGAGAATACTTGCTATCTACTCTAGTTTAGCAAATTTCAACTAGAAAGAACCTCTATAGTAGAACCTCTGTAAGTTGACAACCCAAGAGACTATAAAAAGCTGGTCAACATATGGAGGTGGGCAACATAAGGAACTAGGCCTACTGTACTGATATATGTGCATATCTCATCTATGAAAATTAGGTCAACTTAAGGAGGTGATCAATATAGGGAAGTGGTCAACTATGGAGCTTCTACTGTATATGGTTCTGTATTGTTACCTATAGTCACCATGCTATACATTAGATCTCTAGAACTTATCTATCTTACATAACTGAAACTCTGTACCCTTTGACCAACATCTCATTTCCCCAACCATCTTCTCCCTGGAAACTACCATTCTACTCTCTTCTTCTATGAGTTTACTGCTATGGACTCCACATATGAATGAGAACATGTGGTATGTGTCTTTCTGTGTCCAGTTTATTTCACTTGACATAAGGTCCTCCGGGTCCATCCATGTTGTCTCAAATAGCAAATTTCCATCTTTGATAAAGGCTGAATTATACTTCATTGTATTCATATATATATATATAGTTATCTCATTTTTGCATAGTCACGTTTGTATATGTTTAGATCTAGGAGAATATTTAGAAAGAGGTCTCCAATGTGTTTAAAATAATGTGGATTCAATGGTTGAATTGAAGTGATGAATGTATGTTCCTGATATCATGGGATATCATGATACTTTCAACTTTTCTGTATGTTTAAAAAGCATTGTAATAAAAAGTTGAAAGGAAAAAGTCTTCATCTGTTTAAGAACACTAAGACATGTCAAATTATAGGGTTTGCTGATTTGTAAGATTGATCACATCTGTCATCTTAAACTGTGTTTATGTATAAGGTATTATTGTAGAACATCAATGTCCGTCTGTTCAACTACCATTGAAATTAATGTCACAATTCCATCCCAGCTCTCCATTCCCTAATGTACACATCACTCCATGGCATGCATGTTAACTGAAGGTCCAGACTTGGAAAACCTCTCCTTCTCAGCTGTACATAATTTCACAGAACTCAGAGGGGACTGAGAACCTGCCCAGCAAAAATAATCACACCCAACAATGGGCTTCAGTCAATTTGGTAACTGGTTGTTTATGAAAAATAAAGTGACACTGATGACATGTATAAGAATGTAACTTAAATCATATCCTCACTTTTCAAACACAAGCATTAAAAAATAAAAACCAAACTATCTTAGCCAGGTGTTGTGGTGGGCACCTGTAGTCCCAGCTACTCAGGAGGCTGAGGCAAGAGAATCCCCTAAGCCCAAGAGTTGGAGGTCATTGTGAGCTGTGATGCCACAGCACTCTACCTAGGGCCACATAGTGAGACTCTAGCTCAAAAAAAAAAAAATACCCAAACTATCAGATGGGCTCCTCCCCACAAAATTCCTATTTCTACACCCAAGTCTTCAATTACTAGTGAATTTGACTGTTTTCTTTTAGGAATTAATATGTATATTGTTTCTCTACTTTTTGACTGAAATAGTCATTGATATGTCAGAGCTCTTTGTATGTTATATATAATAATTTTCTGTTATATGTAATGATGATTTCCCCCAGTTTGGCATTTACCTTTCATAGTGTTTTGACTACTTATAAATGTTTGTACTTACATATTAACATCTATCAATTGTTTATAGCTTCTGCCTTTTATGTCATTTTTAGAAAATCATTCTCCACTTCAAGGTTATAAAAACAAGATATTCACCTTTAGATTCTTCTAATACTTCTAGTGTTTCTTTTCTTTTTTTATATTTAAATATTTAAATGATCTGGAATTTATTTTGCTTTAAGGCACCATATAGAATCTAACTTAATTTTCCTTCCAAATTACCTGCCATTTGTTCCAATATCATTTATTGAATAATTCTTCCTTTTCCCCCCACTTTCTCCTAATACTTTTTCTGTATGCCAGTGAAAAGGAAAACATTATTTATTTTATTTTTACTTTACTTTACTCTTTACTTTTACTCTACTTATACTTTCTGAAGTATATGGGCTGTAACTTGGCCCTGATTTATAAGTCTGATGGTAATTTCCCTCCTAATCAAAAATTAACTTTGTATTTTGAATGTCTAATATTTGATTCTTCTTCTAACAGTGGTATACATGCAAATGGAAATCTGAACTCTTGTGCAAAATTTTTAAGTTTAGATTAGATTACACCCATATTAAAATCATTTTGCCAAGTCTCTTCAATCTTATTGAAAATTTTGTTTGCAAGCAGACATGTAAATATAGCACAATCTG